ATCTATTACCCACTTAAGGCTACTCAAGTTAATAGTAATTGGTGTTTGACAAAACAAGACTAAACACTCTGACGGGCAAAATAAATTGTACAGAACAGAAAAACCAAAACAGACAGAAAGTGTATACCTATACTCAATTTTGGAAGTATAGTTTAAACTTTCCATATCTAAGAACAGAATCCTGCATGTACATTACCTTAAAAATAGGTCTGAAAAAAGGTATTCATGTGATATTATACCGGGTTCTCTATTTTACATGACCCAGGACATGTACTTTTCTTTACCTGCTCTTTTTTCTTCTTAAGCCTAGCATTTTCTTCTTGAACCCAATGACATTCAGACTTCACTTTCTCTTCACTAAGTTTAGCTTCATTAAGTGCAATCTGAACCTAATGCAAAACACTCCTATTAGTGAATTAATTCCAAAGAAAACCAAAAAAAGTTACTTTCCCAACCCAGCATCAGGTGGTTTTCATTTTTTGCACATTTTAGCACATATCAAATTTTTGCTCCTCAATAAAACTGTGATATAGTTTTAATATCCTGCAGGAATTATAGTCATCTTTACCTCTGAAAATTCTGAAGCATTCATGGAAATAACATCTTTTAACTTCTCTATAGATTTCTTTTTTTCTGATATCTGCCACGTAAAAACAGAACACGAAATGCATATTAGGATTTCAGTAGAAACACTGGGATATACACTAAAAAGAGGAAACATCAATGAATTAAATCCCAGAGCCATCCTGTGTTTCAGGTAAAAGCAGGTTTTTCAGTTTTGCCCTAGGGAAAAATCAAGAACTTAAAGAGGTAAAGGAAAATAATCAAAGGTGTAAATATTTCATGGCATACACAACCTTCCTTTTTAGAATAAAATGTGGTACATGGCAAGACTAAAAGATGAAAGAAAAGAAACTGAAAAAACTCTCAAGTTAACCAGTTCAAATCCATGTGTTTTTTTTTCCCCTTGGGGCAAGAGAAAAAAAAAAAAAACCCAAGGTGCTTTAAAAATTCTCTTGCCTAAATTAAAAATGGTAGAATTGGAGTGAGAATAGACAGATCATGCATATACAAGAATTCCAAATAATTTATGAAGATTCTGGCTCCTCAAGGGGATGGAGCATAATCTTTCACTTTTTAACTGTGAGCTGTGATACTAACTTCCTTCCAAAGAGTACAATAATGCAAAAGGTTAAAAAAAAAGTAATTTTACAGTGAAGAAACCTGGCAATACTAAGCTCAGTCAGGTCATCAAGATTAATAGGATGTGGGATTTATGGGAACCCTCTTTACTATCTTTGCAATTTTTACGTCATTCTGAAACTATTCTATTAATAAAGTAAAATGCTTATAGTGAAAAAAAAAACTTTGCAAAACAAAACAAAACAAAAGGACTGTTCAGCCGGGTTGTGGTTTCTTAGTTGCTCCACGTTTTAGAGGGCAGAGCCAAGCAATACAACAATTACCTAGGGTTGAGAACCAAAATACTTCCTAGGCCCATAAGAGTAACATCTTGTGTAAGTACTTAAAATCTCACAAAAACGGACAGAAGTAGTTCAACTTCCCTGACTCACACTCTTACTTCACAGAACACTATGGAAAATAAAAAGTTCAAATTCATCTACAGAGTTCAAAAAAAAAAAATTATTAGTAACGCTTAGCAGCAAAACTCTTACCAAATCCTGATTCTTGACATTCTGTTCTCTCTCAGATTCTAACATAACACGAAGATTTTTAGCTGTGTCACCCAGAATTTCATTATTTTTTTCAAGTGTCTTGATTTTATCCTACAAAAAAGATATTAAGATTAGTTATATTCATTAATTTTTACTTTTGTTTTAAAATGTAATCCCCAAAAGAAGTTTTCACCTTAAATTTAATGGCTTTATCAGAGAGAATCATATTTTGCTTCCTGGTTTCTTGAATGTGTTTCTTTGATTCCTCGATCTGCAAAAAATAACGCATTCAGAATCAAGAAATACAAAGTATTGTGCTACTGAAACTTACTTTGAAGTGACTGACCTCTTATAGAAGAAAACAGTACTTTACACATATGATTGCTTAAGCTCTGGATTGTTTATAGGAATTAATGGAATAATAAATATTATTTTTAAATACCATAGTAACTGAACTATAAGACAGGTGAAAATAATTCAACCTGGGACCATGGGGAAAAAAAAACAAAATAATAATTATACCTTCTGTTCATAATTTGACAATTTCTGTACAAGTTCTGTATTTTCTTTCATAATAATCTTCAACTTCTCAGAAATCTGCTGTTCAGTGACTGAAAAAAGAAAATATATAAATTATGATCACTAAATGAAACTGAATTACCCAATGTATCAGCAGAAAGACATGTTATCTGGCACTATGAGGAAAAAGAACTTCTTAACATAACTATTATGGTTTGGATTGTGTCCCCACCAAATCTCAAGTCAAATTATAGTCCCCAATGTTGGAGGTGGGGCCTGGTGGGAGGTGATTGGATCATAGGGGTGATTTCTCACAAGTGGTTTATCACCACCCCTGTGGTGCTGTTCTTGTGACAGTGACTGAGTTCTTGTGGAGCCTCGTTGTTAAAGGTGTGCAGCACCTCCCTGCTCACTCTCTCTTGCTCCTGCTTCTGCCATGTAAGACGGCCTGCTCTTGCTTTGTCTCCTGCTATGGGTAAAAGCTCCCTGAGGCCTCCCCAGAAGCAGATGCCACTATGCTTCCTGTATAGCCTGCAGAATTATGAGCTAATTAAACCTCTTTCCCATAAATTACCCACTCTCAGGTATTTCTTTTTTTGAGACAGGGTCTCGGTATGTTGCCCAGGCTGGAGTTCAGTGGCACAATCTCAGCTCACTGCAAACTCCACCTCCCAAGCTCAAGCAATTCTCCTGTCTCAGCCTCCCAAGTACCTGAGACCACAGGTGTGTGCCACCACACCCAGCTAATTTTTGTGTTTTTTAAAATAGAGATGGGGTTTCTCCATGCTGCCCAGGCTGGTCTCAAACTCCTGAGCTCAAGCAATCCTCCTGCCTCGGCCTCCCAAAGTGTTGGGATTACAGGCATGAGCCATCACACCTGGCCTTGGGTATTTCTTTACAGCAGTGTGAGAACAGATTAATACAAATAGCAATCTGCTAATAGGAATAAGAATGTAAAAAGACTGTTACAATTTAAGAAAAATATAAGAACCTTTATTTCGATGAGAGTCTAATTTAAATTCATTTCCAAGATGGGAAACACAGTATAATGTTATAGGTCAATATTCCTCCCTGCATGAAGCATTTTTTCTTCTCAGAAAATGGCATCACTTCAAATATGTCATTTGCAAAGAGAAACAGAAAATGCAAGCATGCTGATTTATGTTTCTAGTCCTGAAATTATCTATTTAAATAAATATTTAGTGTACTAAATCATTAGCACAGAAAATCTGGTTACATGTAATAAACTAGTACATCAGTGTTTAAGGTAAATCTGCCCCCAGTGAAACTAATCTTCTCCCTACTCCCACAATTTGTTCCTCCTCATCTCCTCTCTCAGGTGGTAGTAACACCATTTATTCTATCATCCAAGCTAGCAACCTAGGAATAGGAAAGTTTTCAGAAGCTGTAAGTCAGTCAGACATCAGAAATCACTAAAAGTACTTATATATAAAAGCCGTATCAAACACCAGTACCGAGGGAATAGTACAAATAACAAAACAAGCCTAAAGATTTACCTTGATATACTCTACTCTTTACGTAGAAAAGAGAAATAATAATTAAATTGTATGTCAAACATTTCATTAATAGGTGTATATAGTTCCTAATACAACAATTGGAGTTATAACCAAATGGGAATTTAATAACAGTTTGCTTTAGCATAATAAATCCATAAGATTAAAAAAACTAAAAAGGTTAAAAAGCATTTCAAATTAAACCAGTAGTGATATGTTGCAGTCTGACAGATAAAGCACTAAGATAAATATCTTACTCTGCAGCTAAAGATATGTTTACATATCTAAATGAACACCAGTCTTATGAAATGAGCACTTAACTTGAATAACAGAAATGGCTAATATTTTTTATAATAAATATATTAACATATTATTTACTCAAAGTCACTTATTTGACAACTCCAAAGAGCCAGAATGAAATCTAAAAACATTGACTACTCAAAAAGACTCTGAGGAAACAAAATTAAAGGTATAATCTTCATATTAAGTTACACCATTTTTGCTTTCCAGAAAATACCTCAGAAATCCTATTCAAAGTTGACTACTGGCTGAACTTAGAAACAA